GAGGGTGGGATGTTTCAAGAGAACAGCATCGAAACATGTATATTATCTAGGGTGAAACAGATCACCAGCCCAGGTTGGATGCATGAGACAAGTGCTCGGACCTGGTACACTGGGAAGACCCAGAGGGATCGGGTAGAGAGGGAGGTGGGAGTGGGGGGTCGGGAAGGGGAATACATGTAAATCCATGGCTGATTCATGTCAATGTATGACAAAAACCACCACAATATTGTAAAGTAATTAGCCTCCAACTAATGAAAATAAGTGGGAAAAAAATCCATTTGCTTTTTCCACTCAAAATTTTGTATTTCTCAAACCTACATGGTATCACTGTATTTACTGTTTGTTTATACTTTATTGGGCACACATTTCATTGGTCCATTTTATTTAATGTGAATTTGCTGCTTTTACCTTCTCTGCTCTTATCACTAAAGCATCATACCATTTAGGAAATAACTTTGTAATAAGTAAGACTGCAATTCTATAGGAGCCAAAGGCCAGTTATATTGATTTTAATTCTAAAACAGACAAAGAAAAATGATTCTTAAGCTTTCTGTGAAACACAGAAGCCTGAATATGGAATCAGGGAAATCTGGCTCAAGTCCCTCTTCTTCCAGTGACTAATCACCTTGGACTTAAGTAAGGCAGCTACTTCAAGCTTTCTGCGTCTCGGCGCCAGTGTGATCTTATCCATACGCTCCCAGAGAAACAGAACCAGGATGAGTAACACACACAAAGGCATTAAAGACTCTTACCAAGATGGAAAAGTCCAATTACCATTATTTTATAATTCAATACTGGAGAAGCATCAGTGTAACTTCCAGATAGGTTTTAAAAATAGTAATCATACTTGTATATAATTTACAACAATCACTATTTATTAATTTTCTTCTAAACTTTAAGACACATAAATTACCATCTCTGAGACTATCCCTGGCACACACCAGAGGGTGTACCCATTGGCAAATGGGTTAATGAGGCATTTACATGGAAGCAGGTGCACAGAGAAGACTGTCGTGTGTAGTGGGTGAGAGCCTGGACCCTGAAATCTAGTTCTTGTTCCCATGCTCAGCACTTGTGTGACTGTGGGTTCCCAGTGGCCTCAGTTTCACCTCTAAACTTAGGGATAATAATCCTACCTACCTCACAAGATTGCTGTGGAGATAAAATGAGAATGCATCATCGACAGGCTTTACAATGCCTAGCTCATAGTCAGTTCTCAACAAATTAATATTGTGAACAAGAAGACAAATCTTTCACATTCCACAAAACTCTTAAAAGTTGTATCTTGCATTAATATATATGAAGGTTAAATGATTAGTCTAAGTGATTTTTTGGGTAAAAGTTATATAAAACTTGAACAGAAAGCAATCACTTATTTTACAAAAATACCTCATACTTTACAAAATAACTCATAATAAGACTTAAAAAATGATTTAAGATATAAAAACTTGCTTAATACATAAATATCCAGAAATGTCTTTTCTTAAACAAAACTAGGCACAGTAGCTTCTGCATTTCACATCCTAGAAAGTGTAGAAGAATTTGACTAGTTTACTGGTAGTAATACACTGCTATATATTACCATTGTAATACATACCAGTCCATCTGTTAGCAGCTTCTTTGGCCACTTGATTTGCTTGACCTGGAAAAAAAAAAAAAATCAAACCTGCTCAACTTGCCAAAGAAATTTTAGATAGTTGCAGTTATCTAAGTCATAAACACAAAGTCAACTTGAACAGTATCTCTTTCCTAAATGTCCACTATTATTATTGTACTTGCTCTTTAAAAACAAAATGTTTAACTGAGATGTTTCTCAAATAATTTACAACACCAGAAGAGGACAAAGTAAGTTTAATGATAAGCACTTTAGTGTACACATATTTGTTGTTTAGTTGCTAAGTCATGTCTAACTCCCTCACAACCCCATGGACGGTAGCCCACCAGGCTCCTCTGTCCATGGGATTTCCCAGGCAATCCTAGGCAAGAATACTGGAGTGGGTGGCTATTTCCTTTTCCAAGGGATCTTCCAGATTTAGGGATTGAAGCCATGTCTCCTGCAGGTGGATTGTTTACCACTGAGCCACCAGGGAAGCCCGTATACATATTAGACCATAATAAACCTGACAATAACATTTTAATGGTCATACAGTAGTAGCCCTGAGGGAGGAAATATTTACTTTATATTTAATTATATATCTTGCTACTAAATGTATCTGTATCCATATTATGTTATTCAAGTTAATCTAAACAGTACATAACAATGCCATGATCAAATGGGTATAAACATTAGTCATAATGAGAGCACTTATTTATTGAAATAAGATTTATATACCACAGAACTCACCATATTAAAGCATCTAATTCAGTGATTTTTAGTACATTTACAAGGTTGTACAACCACCACCTCTACCTATCTTCAGAGCTCTCATCACCCGGAAGGAAATCCTTTCTCTATTACGAGTCACTCCACAGTCCTACTCCCTCTAGTCTCTGGAGACCACTATCTACTTTCTGTTTCTATGGATTTGCCTATGCTGGACATTTGACAGAAATAAAATTATGTCTGGCTTCTTTTCAGTTGGCACAATGTTTTCAAGGTTTGGCATGTATCAGAACTTCATCCCTTTTCATTATCAAATAATTGCATAGATACCCCACATTTTGTTTAGTGGCTCATCGGTTGATGGACATTTGGGCTGTTATGACTGATATCAGTAACAATTTGTGTGTGAACATGTTTTCAATTCTTTTGGGCATATACACCTGGGAGTGGCACTGCTGGCTCAAATGGGAACTGTATGTACATTGTGGGGAACAGACAACTTGTTTTCCAAAGTGGCTGAATCATTTTAACAATCCCACTAGCAATCTAAGAGTTCCAACTTTTCCACAACCTCACCAATAATTATTTTGCCTTCCTTTGATAACAGCCATCCTAATGTATATCTCCTTGTGTTGTGATTTGCATTTCCCTAATGACCAATGATGCTGAGTTTCTTTTTATATGCTCTTTGGCCATTTGTATATTTTCCTTGGAAAAATGTATTCAAATCTTTTGTGTGTTAGTTGCTCAGTTGTGTCCAACTCTTTGTGACCCCGTGGACTGTAGCCCACCAGGCTCTTCTGTCCATAGAATTTTCCAGGTAAGAACACTGGAGTGGGTAGCCACTCCCTTCTCGAGGGGATCTTCTCGACCCAGGGTTCCTGCATTGCAGGCAGATTCTTTACCATCTGAGCCACCTCGGAAGCCCATTTGCCTGTATTTAAATTTTTTATTACTGAGTCATAAGAGTTCTTTTCAGATATAAGATTTGCAACTATTTTTTCCTATTCTGTGGGGTTTCTTTTCACTTTTGTGACAATGTACTTAGACATACAAAAGTTGTCAGTTTCAATGAAGGCACATTTATCTACCTTTTATATGACTGCTTGAGCTTTTGATGTCATATCTAAAAAACCAAGGGTACAGACACAGATAGCTATGTTTTTTCCCTAAGAGTTCTATAGTTTTAGCTCTTGCATTTAAGTCTCTGCTCCAGCTGAGTGAAGTGGGAGGCCAGGATGACCCATTTACATGTGGCTAACCAGTGGTGTCCAAGTGTCATTAGCTGAAAACACTATTCCGTCTTGATTGAATGGTCTTCATACCCTTGTTCAAAACCTTGTTTACTTCTGGACTCTCAAGTCTACTTCATTAACCTATATGTTTATTCATTTACTAGTACCAAATCGCCTTGATTACTCAAGTTTTTTACAAAAACTAATTTTTATTAAAAAAATTTTAAACTTTTCGGCTGTACCCCACAGTATGTGGGGTCTTAGTGCCCTGACCAGGATGGAACCCACACTATATTGGAGGCGTCGTCTTAAGCGCTGGGCGCCAGGCAAGTCCCCAGACTTGTTATGTTGTACCGGAGCACAGCCAGCTGACAGTGCTGTGATAATCTCAGGCGGGCAGCAGAGGGACTCGGCCATACATACACAGGCATCCATTCTCCCCTCACTCCCCCTCATCCAGGCTGCCACACAACACTGAGCAGAGTCCCACGTGCTACACAGCAGGTCCTTGCTGGTTACCCATTTTAATAGCAGTGTGTACCTGTCCATCCCAAACTCCCTACTTACCCCTTCCTCTCATCCTTCCCCCTGCAACCCTAAGTTTGTTCTCTCTGAGTCTGTTTTGTAAATAAGCTCGCTTGTATCACTTCCTTTAGACTCTGCACATAAGGGATGTCATGAGACGTTCCTGCCTCTGTCTGACTTACTCACTCAGTATGACACTCTCTAGGTCCACGCGTGTTGCTGCAAATGACAGGATTTTTTTTGCTGCCTGAGTTATGACTCAAGTTTCATAGTAAGTTTTGAAATTGGGAAATTTGAGCCTTCCAACTCTGTTTCTCCAAGATTCTTTTGGCTGTTTTGGGTCCCTTGCATTTTCATACGAATTTTAGAACCAACAATTTCTGCAAAAAAGAAAGTGGAATTTTGGAGATTTGAGTTAATCTTTAGATCAACTGGGGGAGTATTTCACCTTAAAAATATGTAGGTCATTCAATTCATGAACACAGGATGTGTTTCATATTTATATAGATCTTTGACTTCATTAATAGTTTAGATTTCAGTACAAGTCTTGTACTTCTTCAATTAATTTTACTCTTAAGCATTTTATTCATTTTGATGCTATGCTAAGTGGAATTTTTTCTCAATTTCATTTTCAGGCAGTTTATTGAGGGTTTATAAAATACAAATATTTATTACACATTGATTTTCTATTTTGCCATCAGTTGAACTCACTTGTGAACTCTAATAATTGTATTCTGTTGTTTTATGGATTGCTTAGGGCTAAGATCATGTCAACTGCAAACAGATAGCTTTGCTTTTTTATTTTTAATATGGATGCTTTTTATTTCTCTTTCTTGCCTAATTGCCCTGGCTTGAATTTCCAGTACAATATTGAATAGAAGTGGTAAGAGTGGACATCCTTGGAGAAAGCATACAGTCTTTCACCACTCATTATGTTAGCTGTGCATTTTTTATAGATACCCTTTTATTAGATTGAGAAAGTTCACTTCTATTCCCAGTTTGAGTGTTTTTATCACGAAAGGGTGTTGAATTTTATCAAATACTTTGTCTATTGACACAATCTTGTGGAGTTACCCCACCTTTATTCTATCAATATGTTGCATTAGATTGATTTTTGTATGTTGAGTCAACCTTTCATTCCTGATAAATGTCACTTAATCAGGATGTGTAATCTTTTTTACGTACAGTTGGATTTGATTTACTAGTACTTTGTCAAGAATTTTTACATTTGTAAACAATACTTGACTACAGTTTTTCTTCCTGATGATGTCTTTGGTTTGGGTATCAGAGTAACACTGATACAACCTTGACTAGAGAGTAAGATCCAAAGAATAAGTTAGGAAGTGATTTCTCTTTTCTAAGCTTTTTTGTTTTCATTGAAGAGTTACTTCTTTAAACTGATAGAACTCACCAGTATAGACTTAGTTTTTCATTGTAGAAGCTTTCGATTCCCAAATCAATCTCTTAACATGTCACACATCTATTTGTTGTTCAGTTGCTCAGTCGGATCTGACTCTTTGTGGCCCCATGGACTGTAGCCCACCAGGCTCCTCTGTCCATGGGGTTTCTCAGGCAAGAATACTGGAGTGGGTTACCATCTCCTTTTCCAAGGGATCTTCCTGACCCGGATTGAACTCGCTCCTCTTGCACTGGCAGGCAGCTTCTTCATCACTGAGTCACCAAGGAAGCCCATACAACTATTTGCAGAGTTCATTTCTACTTGAGTTGGTTTTAGTCCTTTGTATCCTTTTAGAAACTTGTTCACTTCTTATACCTTGTCCAATTTATTGACATACCACTGCTCATAGTATTCCTTTCTAATCCTTTTCATAAGGTCAATAATGATCTTTCTCTTTCATTCCCGATTTTAGTAATTTAAATCTTCCTTCTTTCTTGACGTCTAGCCAAAGGTTTGTCAAATTTGTTGATCTGCTAAAAGGGCCAACTTTTGACCTCACTGACTTTCTCTTGTTTTTTTGATTCCCCATTTCTCTTATTTCTGTTCTAGTCATTTTATTTTCTTCCTTATATTTGCTTTGGGTTTAATTTGCTCTTCTTTTTCTAGAATAAGATAGAAGGCTAGGCTTTTGAGAGCTGTCCCAATTTTTAACACAGTCATTATAATAATATTATTAATATATTAAAAATATATTCATATAATTAATATAATACTATAATAATCATAAACATATATTAATATAAGTTTTCCACTGAACAATGTCTTCATTGCATCCAGTAAGTTTTCTTTATGTTTTCATTTTCACTATCTCACAGTATTTCCCAATTTCCCTTGTGATTTTGTTTGAGCCATCCCTCTTACAAGTTGATTCATTTCAACATATTTGTAAATTTCTCAAATTTCCTTCTGTTATTTATCTTTTACATTTCACTATTATCAGAAAGCATACTTTGTATTATCAACCTATTTAAATTTATTGAGATGTAAGCTTAACATTTGCTCTATCTTTAAGAATATTTCATGTGTACTTAAGAATAAAGCTTCCCTGTTGGCTCAACTGGTAAAGAATCCACCTGCCAATGCAGGAGATGCAAGAGACC